AAATAGTCGAATTTTGAATCTGAAGAGCTATGCGACTTTAGTAGTTGTACAGATGAGTCCTCTTCCCTTTCGTGTTTGATTTTCTGTGCTGGTGTAAGATTAGATTAGTTTCTAATTAGTGTGTTAGGTTTTTAGTAGGTTTTGTAATTACTGTGGTTCTAAAATCGGATAACTAGTTTTTGGTCTAATTCTCCCACATGTTAATTGTATAGCTTAGTTCTCCTCACCTGATTAGTGTTCCGATGCCAAATGTTTTGTTTTCGTTTTGATCCTTTATCTGGTTTAATTCTGTTTGTGATCTCCATTTTTGATTGACTGTCAAGTTCGACCCTGTGTTTATTTTGATGAGGGAACGCATGTTTAATGACTTAGGTTTATATTTTATGGGAGTCACTCGACATGCTCAGTCCGAATTAGTGTAGTTAACAGTGTTGTTGATTTGAATATCCAATAATTTGCTTATTAAGCCTATTTTCTTTTGATCCAGCTTCAATCAATCTTGTGTGTATTTTTTGGTTTTCAGTTAATAATGTTTTGGTTAATCAGTGATTGCTGTTAACAATACTTCAGTAAATGCCCGGTTCAATTTAGTTGTTAATTAGATGAATTTGGCCATAGCAGATGGATTCAAATTAGGTAAAAGAGGACTAAATCATTTGGACTATGATTATAGTAATTTCAGGAGGTTCAAAGGGTAGTTTTAGCATGGGAAAAGGGTACTTTTATCAGATTTGGCTAATTTTGAAGGGGGTGTAAGGATAGATATAGGATTGAATGGGCATAGAACCTTCATAGGATGGGTATAGTGTAGTTTCTAAATAAACTTAAGGTAGTTACTTGTGACACAAGTCAGAAATTAAAGAAAGAAAAAGTCATTAAAATCAGGGACCTAGAGGGTAAATTAAAAATCTGAAAGGTTTGCCCTATTGCCTTGCCTATAAAGGCCACTCTTTCTTGCCTTAAGAAGTGGGGGGGAGCCAAAATTTGAACCTAAAGAGAGAGAAAGAGAGCTACTAAAAATCAGAGAAGAAACAAAAAACAAAAAAAAGGATTGCTAGTTACTGTTCCCATTGGATTTTTGCTTGAGCCTTGGGAAGGTTTTGATCTTGAATTGTGCTGCTTCATTTGGAGTCGAAAATGGTTGGAAGTAGGGTTCCAAATCAAATTGTTGGTTTGGGGTCTTGTCGACTCATTGAGTTTCAAAACTAAAATCTGGGTTGTTGCATCTCATCTGCGTTCAAAAAATAACCTGCTGGGCCTGAGTAGTCGAGTTGGTTTTGGGATTGCATTGGTGCTTGGAAATTGTTTGCTCTGTGTTTTGTTTTCATAACTAGAATTTCAAGCCTATTCCATGAACTTAATGTGTTGACTGAGCTGTTTACTGGTTTAACTTATTTTCTTTGGGCTCTGCTGTTGAGAGCTTTCACTGCTGCTGATCTTTTCCTTTTTCTTATTACCAGGTAACACATTTGAATCTGCCCTTGTATAACCTTAGCTTGAAATGGAATCAAATATTCATTTGTTTGGGCCTTTGAAATGCTGCCTGGCTGTGGTCATTGTGTTATAATAGGCGTTAGGATTTAATCGCACAGCTAATGTCAAATCGATTTGTATGTTATGTAAACCCTGGGTGTGTTAATAATTGGACTGTGTAACTGGATGTCATCTGACGTTGCAATGGACTTTTGGGAATTCTGAATTATGTATATTAAATTGCTGGGGAGATTGCATCCAAATGATTAATCCTATATAGTATAGATCGCATCCAATGTTCATTTTCGGTATCTAAAACTGGGCATTATTAGGTTGACATCATAGGTACAACTTTGAAATAATTTCTGAACTGTTGCGATCTTAGTTCATAACAATAAGAATGCATATTGGAGCTGAATTGTAATTGGGCCAGCCTTAACCGTAGGAGAAAAATACTTTAGGCCTAGCTAGATTCTTAAATATGATTGCTTACCACTCAACTTTAGGTATGCTCCAATTTGCTGCAAGTACAGCTGCTTGATTCTGCATTTGCCATTATCTCCCTGCATCTGTGTATTTGGACCAGCAACAGTCATGATCTTTTCAACCATCCAACTCGCTTGCTTTGGTACTTTAACTGTAGCTAAAGGGTGCCCTTTTATATAGTACATATGAACCCATTTGATCTACAATCTGTCTGCCTTTGTTGCCAAGTCCCATTGCAGCTTGAGAATGGCAGCTTTGTTCCAGCTTTTGAGATTTAGGATGTTTAGTCCTCCAGCACTCTTAGGTTGACAAACTTTGTCCCAAGATATTAATGCATGTTTGGTAATGACATTTGTTCCTGACCACATGAAGCTTCTACAGTAGGCATCAATAAGCTTGATCACCTTGGAGGGCATCAGGAATATTTGAGACCAATAAGATTGAACTCCAAAGAGAACAGTTCTAATAAGTTGAACTCTTACCAGCATATGATAACTTTCGTGCAGTCCAGGATGATATTTTAGCTACTATTTTGTCAATCAATGGTTGCCATTGTGCCATCTTCATCTTTTTGGTAGTAAGAGGGACCCCCAAGTACTTAAAAGGTAGTTCACCTTGTACATACCCCAGCTGTTGGATGATAATATCTTGATCCACCTTGCACACTCCACCAAAATAGACTGAACTCTTGTTGAGGTTGGCTTTTAGTCCAGATGCTATGGAGAACTGATCAAAACATTGTTTCAGCATTGCAACTGATTGGTTATCACCTCTAGCAAATAATAACATATCATCTGCAAAGCTCAAGTGAGTAATGCCCAGTTTCTTGCACTTTGGGTGAAAATGAAATTTCTTTTCCTTCTTCAGATCAGTGAGGAGTCTGCTTAGATATTCCATTGCTAAAGCAAATAGAAATGGGGATATTGGATCCCCTTGCCTGAGGCCTTTAGCAGCAGGGAAGGGTTCAGTTAGTTCACCATTTATCAGTATAGAGTAACTCACACTATGCATACAGGATGATACCCATTGAGTGAATTTGTGAGGGAACCCAGACCTTCCATGACTTGTGTCACATAGCTCCATTCCACATATCATAAGCCTATTGTAAATCAACCTTGATCATACATCTAGGTGATATATGTTTCCTTGAGTAGGCTTTAATCAGTTCATGTGCTAAGATGATATTATCAACTCCCTTTCTCCCAGGAATGAATCCGGCTTGAGATCCATCAATCAAATAGTCCATTACTTTCTGCAACCTTGGTGCTAAGATTTTGGAGACAATCTTATACAACACAGAGCAGCAAGAAATGGGTCTGTAGTCCTTTATGGTAGTAGGGTTGGTGATTTTGGGTAGTAAAGTAACTGTAGTGCAGTTAATGGCCTTAGGCATCACCCCAGTAGGAAAAAACTCCACTACTGCTTCATATACATCATCCTTGATAACTTCCCATGCTTTTTTGAAGAAGACAACATTATAACCATCAATGCCAGGAGCTTTGTCATTACCCATAGCATGCATACATTCATTTACTTCATGTTTGGATATCTCTTTGGTCAGTTCCACTATCTGCTGATGATTTAGTTGAGGCCCCATTTTCAGAATTTGCATGTTAACAGCTGGAAGAGTAGTAGCTGCAGTTCCCATAAGGGCCCTATAGAAGTCCACTATCTGCTTTTTGATTCTTTTAGGATCTGTTAGTATCTCACCATTCAGAGCTGTTAGTGTATGAATATTTTTCCTACTTGTTCTATCCTTCATCATTGCAAAGAAATATTTGTTGTTTCCATCTCCAACATTGATCCAGTGAGCTTTAGATTTCTGTTGCAGAATCTTCTCTTCAATACTAGACCATTTTTCTAATTGAAATCTGGCCTCTTTCTCCATCATTCTTAGTTGGCCTGAATAATTTCTATTCATTTCTTGCTGGTATTCAATAAGTTCTCTTCTTGCTTGGTTTATCTTTTCTGTGATATTTCTGAAGCTTCTATTGTTTAAGTCCTTGAATACAGGTTTCATTGCTTTCAGCCTGTACCAAATAGTAGCTAGTTTAGAAGACTTATTCTCTCCTTGCCATCTTTCCCTGACAATATTCTGAAAATCTTGATGTTCTGCCCAAACATTTAGAAACCTGAATGGCACTCTTATGCTATTATTTCTCCTCCGGAATTTTAGTGTGAGGGGTGAGTGATCTGATATAAATGGATCTCATATTTCAACTGTTAGGTGATCAAAATTCATCATCCAGTCATCATTCCCTAAAGCTCTATCTAACCTGCTAATTACTCTGTCTTCACCCATTTGTCCATTTGTCCATGTAAAGAATTCCCTTCTCCAAGGGATTTCAGCCAACATTGTGTCAGAACAAAAGTTGGCAAAATCTTGTATATCAGCTTGAGTAGGAGCAACCTTTGATACTCTATCTTGGGTAGAGATGATAGCATTAAAATCCCCCCACAACAACCATGGATAGTTAATAGTTTGTGCAAGACTTTTAAGCTTTTGCCACATCTCCTTCCTCTTCTCTAAGCTATTAAACCCATAAACCACAGTCATAGCACATCTGATGGTAGAGCTATTAATGATGCAGTGAATGAATTGAGCATCTATTTGAATCACATCTACTTGCCATACATTACTATCCACTAGTAACCATATTCTCCCATTAACTGCATGATCATAGTTATGAACTAGTTCCCAATTTGTTGCAATCTTAGGGGCAATAATAGAAGCTTTTTGTTGTTTGATTCTAGTCTCTACTAAACCAGCTAAAGAAGTATGATGTTCTTTGAGGTATCTACCCAACTACTTCTGTTTATATCTTTGGTTTGCTCCCCTCACATTCCACATGAGAACATTCATTTAGAAGGACCTGATGCACCACCTCTATCTGGTGGTTGCCTATCCCCTGGGCCTCCTCATAACACTTCAAAAGTGTTCTGTGTGATAATTGAAAAATCAGTACCACCTACATTTGTTCTGGGAGTTAAAACACTGTTTTTGTCTCTCAATATACTATTCTCATGCCTTTTAGCCTGTGTCATGCCCTGTGCAATATCCATGATTTTCCAGCCATTATATTATGAACTACTGTAGGGGCAGCTTGAGTTATGGGAGATACTGTTTCAACACAATTAGTGTTTGTTTCAGTTAGCTCTTGAGGCTTACTTGTGTTCTGCTTTATACTGCCTTTGCTTCTCCACTCCTTTGCTGGCTGATGAGCTTTGCTATTTACTTTCTGAATTTTCTGAGGCCTCCCTTGAACTTCCTCATTGTGTTTGCATATATGGCCCAGTTGTTGACAATCAGAGCAGAATTCAGGTTGCCATTCAAATCGCACCACTTGCTTGTACATCTTTCCAGAAGGATCTTGTATTGTGACTCCAGTTGGTAGTGGCTTAGTAATGTTCACTTCAATCAGCATCCCCGCAAATGAGATTCTCGAGTGATTAGCTGTACATTCAGCAAATAGTGGCACTCCAATGGCACTTCCCAGCCTGCTTAGAGAGTCTTTTCCCCAATAAGCCATAGGCAAATTGGGAAAAGAGACCCATAGGGGAATCTCTTTAAGAAAAGCTGTATCGAATTCAACATCAGGAGACCATTTCTTCAGGATAATAGGTCGATTATTAATCGTGTAAGGCCCTCCAGGACTTCCTTGAGGTCATCTTCCTCTTTGAATTTGGCAATGAAATAGCCTTTTTCATGCCAAAACAATTCAGAGCATGAGGCTTTTGACCAATTGTGATTAATATATCGCTTCATCTGATTATAGCCTGAGATTTCTCCTAATACTGCAACAATCAACGAGTGCTTCCACTTTTCAACCTCTTTCGCAGTCTTTACTGGATCTAGTTTAATAACCACATTACCATCCACAATCGTTGGCGCTATCTAAGATAGAGCAAGGCCATTGGATGCTATTCGATTGTTAGCAAACAGATTGACCCACTCCGAAGCAGTTGCGTCCTTGTTAGCTTTCAATTTCTGCGGATTTTCATCTGCATGTGTATTTGGTTGCGATTGAACCATATGTGATACACTCGAAGTTGAGGCTATGCATTCACCTAGACTTTTGTTCTTTCCACTGTCATCTTTGGGCATTTTACTATCCAATTCAACTGATTGTGTCAAGTTAGTAGCAGAATTAATGGTACCTTTGTCAATCTCATGATTCACACCTGGATCTGCCACTGTTGATATTGCCTGTGGCTTCTGAGAAGCGAATTGAGCTGATGGAGATGTAGTTGTTGTTAGTGAGCTTCCGATAACTAGGATTGGTGTCTTCCTTGGCCGTCTTGGTCCATTTCCTTTGCCCTTCGCCATTGACAACCACCATTCCCGCCAAACGTAACCGCCGCTTGAAGAATCCGTCAGTGGGGAGTAGAGAGAGAATTTTATGTGCTAATTTTGTATTAGGTATAATAATACAAAATGCTAATTACAAATAAGTATGATTAGCTTTAAATTAAAAATATAAACTTTATTTTTAGTTAATAATTTAATATATCAATATGATAAAAGTCACGAATATTGTTTGGCATATAATATTTATCCCTTATTTGGTAATATTTAAATTGTAAATATCCTAATTTCTACATAAGGAATAATATTATATGAATATTATTTGTCATATAATATTAGTCCTTTATGGTAACGTAATTACACACACACTTTTAGTTTATGTATAAATTTTGCATGATAATTATGTTCCCATTCAAACTAAAATTAAAAGGGAATTTGGTTAAGAAACGGTCAAAAAAGATATTATTGAGTTTGAATTGCCCTATAATTAAGGCATTGTTAAGATTTAAAAGCCTTCTAGGAGCTAAATATTGATAAATACAATTAGCTTTTCAATTGCCCTGTAATTATGGTATTGGTAAGGTTCATTTTTTGTTAAGAAATCAATATATCAATTAAAGAATCTGATAAAAATTATCAATATTATTTATCATAATTATCGATAATCATTCCCTTTGAATGTGGGATTTTTGTTTATTTCTCCAATCAAATCCACCACCAAAATAGTGAGTACATATTAACTTTAAATAATGTTAATTAATATCTTTTTTAAACTAATACATATTAACTTTACATAATGTAAAGCCAAGTGACTTCTTGAAATATTTTTTGTATTTTATGTAAAGAAATGTGCTACTTGAATTTTTTTTCAATTTTCAAAGTCATCAATCCTTAATATCTTAAATAAATTTATTTACTTTATTTATATTTTAACTTGCCCAGAGTACAAATAGTCATCGTTATCCCAATCTACATCTTTCTAATATTTTTATTATTTTATTATCGTGAATTTTTAATTATTTTTTCACTTTCATGTTTTAAGCTAATATAGAAGGAAAATTGATGATTGGATCTATATATGATATAGATATAGATATGGATATAGATATAGATATATAGATTTGGATTTATTTTCTAGATTATGTCTTAAATTTGCCAAGTGGCATTTTTTCAATACGCCACTTGGCTTAACCACATGCTTCACTACCCTCCTTTTAATATAACTAGTATTAGTACCCGCGCGATGCCCGGACATTATTAGGATGTTTAGCCAAGCTTCTTTTGACGCAATAATATTTTTTTTCTAAAACTAAGGTGTTTGGCCAAGGTTGGAAAGAAAATGGTTTTGAGAAGCACAAGCAGTTTTGAAATAATGTACTTTACCATCAATTGCAACGACTTGTAGTTACACTATTCGGGCATCAATGAAAATGATACTCCTGTAAAAAAAAATTGTCAAAAAATGATATTACGTTATTGTTGGAGAAATCAAATAAATTTTAGTTAATTATTTTATAAGATATTCTTAAACATTTTTACTTATAAGTGTGATACTACATTCATAATTTTAGAAGAACATTACGCTTATTAATTGAAATTTTTGTTTAAAATAATGTCCGTTACCATTATTATTCATGCTTTTCATAAAATTGTTTATCTTTCAATTTAAAATAATTCTTTTATATTCCCGTACAAATTCGAAAACTTTATATATAGAAAGTGTTAAGTTTACCAATTGATAACTTTTGTTTAAATAATATCTTCACCATTATTCTCAATGTTTTTTAAGAAGATGTTTATCTTTTAATTCAACATAATTATTTTTATATTTCAAGAGCCGGTTTGGATGGGCTTGTTTTAAGTGATTTTTAAGCCTAAAGCCATAAGTTAGGAATTTTAGTTTTTGGCTTTTGGCTTATTTTTATCATTTTAGCTTAAAAATAAGTGCTCCAAAGTACTTTTTTACTTTGTCCAAACGCTACAAAATGATTTAAAAGCTATTTTGGCTTAAACGAACTTAAAATAAGCCAATCCAAACGGGTTCCAATTCAATTCAAAATCTTCATCTATAGATTCAAATACTTATCTTTTAATTCAAATTTAATTTTATTTACATAGTCTAATAGATATTATTACAAAATTATCAAGTGGCTTTTTATTAGCTTGCCACTTGGCATTATACATATATACTGTCACGACCCTAACCCGGAACCCGATCGTGATGGCGCCTCTCGTGAAGACAAGGCCAGCCAGTTTAATCAAATTCATCTTTTAAAGCAGTTAAACAACACAAAATAGTCTAAACATGATTTTAATAATTCTGAATAGCGAAAATATCAAGAAAAATGCGAAAACCAACCCAACACAGCCATAACCGAAGTGTCACAAGTCAAGAGCATCTACGAATCACAGTATAGTCTGCTAAAAGTCATAAACTACTACAAGTGTTTGTAGGAAACAGGAATGATAGAAGAGTAGAGACACGGGGCTGCGGACGCCAAAAGCTACCTCGCAATCTCCGAAAAAGCCCGCCTGGAACTGGAGGAAATCAACACTCCGGAGCGGAACCAGCTACGCCTGAATCTGCACACAGGGTGCAGGGAGTAAAGTGAGTACTCCAACTTAGTGAGTAACGAATATAAATAATGACTGAAAGTAAGAAAACACGTAAAGCACAAGACAGTCTATAATGAAGTAGTAAAATCATTTAAAATCCGGAAAACCAGTAAAAATCAGGAAAATGCTCTTTAAACTAGTAAACAGGTAACTGACAGATAATTATGATAAAGTAAACAAATAAAAGTTTGCCCCTCGGGCACAGTAACACCACAACCGCCCCTCGGGCAACATCTCACAACAGTAACAGTCCCTCGGGCTCAATCTCACATCACAATGGTTACCCGCGCTCACTGGGGGTGTGCAGACTCCTGGAGGGGCCCCTTACGGCCCAAGCGCAATAACAAGCCATCTCGTGGCATCAAATCAAGGCCCTCGGCCTCATATCAATCAAGCCACCTCGTGGAGTACATATCTCAGGCTCTCGGCCTCCAATAAATATCAGCGTCTCCTCACAATATAGGCCCTCGGCCTTACTCAGTCAAAAATCGTCACAAGCCTCTCGGGCAATAGTAAAACAGTGTTTCTCAGCCCAAACATCATTTAAAATATCATTTAAATCTCAAACTAAGTAAAAAAAGCTGAGTAGTAAAACAGTGGAATTTAATATGACTGAGTTCAAGTAGTAAGTCAAAACAGTGAGGAAATATCAGATAAAAGCCCCGAAGGGTTCAAGTAGTTGGCACGAAGCCCAAATATGGCATTCAGCCCAATAAACGATGATAAAAAGTAGTTTTAAATCAAATATGCGGTAAAGTCATCAATCGGGACGGACCAAGTCCAAATCCCTAATAGTACACGACCCCCACACTCGCCATCGAGCGTGTGCCTCACCTCAACATAGTACTACGATGCACAATCCGGGGTTTCAAACCCTCAGAATATCATTTACAAGCATTACTCACCTCGAACCGGCTAAATCCCTAGCTCGCGACGCCTTTGCCCTTCGAATTGGCCTCCACGGGTGTCGAATCTATCCAAAATCAGAACGAATACGTCACAATATGCTAAGAGAACTAAGCCCAAGAGAAAACAATCGAAAAATACCAAAAATCCCGAAATTAGCAAAACCCGAGCCCCGGGCCCACTTCTTGAAACTCAGAAATTTTTACACGAATAGGTTCCTTATCTCCCCATGAGTTCATACATACCAAAAGCATCAAAATCCGTCCACAAATGACCCTTCAAATCCCAAATCAAAGGTCCAAAATTCCAAGCCCTAATTCTTCCATTTTTAGCTTAAGTTTCCATGATTTTCTAGGTAGATTTCACAATAGAATCGAGTTTTAAGTCAAAAAATCTTACCTCAAGTCGTTTCCCCTTGAATCCCTCTTTAATCTCCTTCAAAAAGCTCTCAAAATGATCAACTATGGGTGAAAATAGACCCAAAATCGCGGACAAGACGACTTAAAAACATTCTACCCAGGTCTGACTTTCGAAATACGCTTTCGATCAAAACCCCAACCAAACCACATCCGAATGACCTGAAATTTTGCACACACATCCCAAATGACACAACGAATCTACTGCAACTCTCAAAATTCCATTCCTATCCCTAGATCAAAATCTCACATACCAACCGGAAATCGCCAAAATATCAACTTCGCC